ATTCTTATTTTGGCTTTAAATGCCTTGATTTTATTTTAGGGTCACCTTCCATCCCACCAGAGCTAACAATTTATGAAAAGCTGGCCAGTTAAAATATGCTTGTTTTTCTTTTTAAAACTCCAAACACACTAATTGGGGAAAATTTAGTCACTGGAAAATTTGTAATCCTTTTGAATATAGATGTTTGTTTATTTTAACTTCTGTGTTTTCATTTTAAAAATTGACCATGGAATTGATTATTCCATGAGTTAATTAATAATCAACCATCTGATTCAATAATAGCAAGTTAAAATTTTTAGTATTTTAAATTCTTAGTAAGAGAAAAAAAGATAATCAATTTAAATGAACCAGTATTTGTTCATATTTGTTTGCACCTTTAATTCACCTCAAGGCCATTCTCTAGGATTATATAATTGTATAAAATCACATTAAGAATTTGAAAACTTTTGTAATTAAGATTTGTTTTTAAAACCCAAAAAAACAAAAACAGGAGACTCTGTTAGGTTTACAGACAAAGGCAGAAAGATCAATGTTTGACCCAATTAAAAAAAAAATCAGAAGTAACACTCATTTACTAATATTTAACAAACAGCTGGTTTCCTTACTTCACTTCCTATTCACCCTTGTCCCTCCCCCACCAGACAGGAAATTGCTTCTGACAACAAATCAATCAGCTAGAAGTAAAAAAGCCAGCAGGAAGAGGCCAGGCAGCTGATTCTTCATGGTTTCCAATCACAAGCACTTAGAAAAAATTGTATCCCCTCCTCTCTCAGCAATATCTACTGAAGAGGTGAAGCCTATCAGTATAAAAGATTCATTGAGATTTATGAAAGAGGCTACCAAGTCAACTACTCAATTGATCTTGTTGGGGAAATAAGGCCAGTAAGCAGAACCCAATGGTCAAATACACATACAAACCCTCACCAGAGTCATACTTATTATACAAACTTTGACACTGTCAATTCACACAACTGGAATGCAAGAATGGGAAATGGTGAGCACACCAATAGAGCTGGGTTGAATGAACTATAATTATAATTGCCAAAGATGAAAAAAAATTAGTGTGAGCTACTTAAGGCCTATAGACATACATACACCCAAATACATTCTTTACCAGCACATTCAGTATTTTTAATAATCTAAAAGTATAATTTATCCTTGATTCTAGAAGTATAGAACTCCTATGAAACAGCACTAAAAGCATGATCTTTCAATATAATTTTGTATTGAGCGTAATTTGTAAATTAGGTTCAAAAGACACACTTATTATACATGATTTTAAAAACAGAACTCAAACTTTAACAAATCATAAACACTCATCTTAGTTTATAAATTTAATTATATGAAATTTAATTCTTTTTAGGCCTTATCTTTTATAAGAGGCAGAAGCCTAGAGTTATCAATAACCTATTAAAATAAGCATAAATGTGAAACTAAGAACAAAAGTGTATTTACCACAATTATTCCCAACAACGTTTGAGAGATTTCAAGTGCGCCTCTTACCACAATAGCATGAGGAGAATGCACTAAAGGCTTTAGTTCATTCAGGTCATTTTCTGCCTGCAAAAATTGGTATAAGAGAAAAACAGAAATGTCACAACCTGCACGTCAGATATATAATTTTAGCAGCAGTCACACAGCTCTATAGGCCCTACTTTACCTTATCCCAGTCTCCTTCCATGACATGATTTCGGAATTTGGTGGCAGAAGGATGTTCTAAACGACATCCTGACTCTTGCATGAGGAGATCAACAGTCTGGCTGCAGGAGAGATACAGTGTAAAAACGACCTGACCAAGTTCAGGGTTTACTCTTCCAAACAAGTGAATGTCTATGAAAACAGTTGCCAACGTTTTTAAACTAATCTCAGGAAGAAAAAAGAAATAAAGAGCTTTCATGTGCTTGGCTAAACCAACTTGATTTTTAAACTGCCACCTTCGTTTCTATCTAGTTAAGTTAAAAGCCTTCCTGAAACCAGAATCAAAGTAAGTTCTTTCTATTCTGCCATTTAATGCCTCAAAAGTTTAAATGAAGTATAAAATTCCTAAAAACATGTTGTAACCAATTGGTTAAATAAATGGAAAAAAACAAACAAACACACACAAAACAGGATCTCCCTAACCCTGTGACATTTCGTAAGATAAAAAATGTTAGCTCCATACAAGGTGATAGCGATGACTTGCCATTGGGGGGAGAGTCTTACATCCAGACATCATGTTTGCATAGAAATTCTAGTAGGTCAGTCTTTAAAATGGAAATAAATCCAGCCTCAAAAATCATCCCCTTTCTCTCTATCCTAAAAATAGCCAATTTACTATGGTGTGGGTTCCAAACAGTCACGAGGTATTTCCTCCTGCTGCTGTCAGCTTGCTTCTGGTCTCAGTAAGACGCTGTTGGCACTTACAAAACCTATTTTCATACTAATTCCTTTTCCTTCGGGCAAAGAGGTGAAATCTTCCTATATCTCTCTTTGAAAGCATAAAAGACTCATCAAAAGTGGCCCAGATATTTTGACACCTAAGAATCTTCCTTTATCAGTTCTTACATGTTTGTTTATGTTTCAATGTTTTCTTACTCAGCCCCAGTTATTTTTCAGCTAAACAGTGCCATCAGCCATCTGCCCGAGAATCAAAATACTTATGTCACCTTAGAAAAGTGCTCTTTCCCCCTCCCCAGAGCGAATGTGGACCCAACACGACCACACGGGCCGGCCCCGGAGCGTGTTTCAATCGCCGCTGGGAGCTGGGAAAGGCTGCGGCGTGTTCCCCCTGCCTCTGCCTGGGGCTCCTCGGCACCCCCCAACCCTACCTCCCCCCTTGGTTTTTCTTTGTGCACAAACGGTGGTTTGGAGCCAAGGTCGCCGCCCTCCTTCACCCTATTTAGGTCCAGAAGGCCGCCTCAACTGTACTGGACAATAAACGATTCACCAGGTCGGATGCCCCCTTTCAGAGGCAGCCGTCTCTCGGCAGTAAATCGGGGTTCCGGTCGGGCTAGGGGCAGGCCCCCGGGACACACACACACCCGGCGGGGCCCCTGCATGACACCCGCGCGGCCTCTCCCAGCAGGACTCCCCTCCGATGCACCCAGCCTCCTCCCCCAGGATCCCAGCCCCTCGTTCCCATAAACACTTGTAGGCGACGGCCTCTCCTGATTGGTGGCTGGCCGGGC